GACAGAGAAAGAGAAAGATTATAAAGAAAATCAACTAGGAGACCACGTACCAGGGTGTGAAATAATTAAAAGTGGGCAGGAAATTAAAACAGAGGAGGGACGACGGCCTCCGCCAAGTAGGGTGCAGCGAGTACTACAGACTCGCAGGGGCTTTTCAGAGACTCCCCTCCCCTGCAACACACGCATTCAAATGTGTTCAATGCCCACCTACGTCTTTAACAGAAAGGTTGAAGTGTTCTTCACCCGCTAGAAGGCGACTAACGCGACAGGCACCTTCCCCCTCCGTTCTCGCTCTAGGACGGGCAGCCCGGTCCGAGGCCGGCAAGACAGACACCACCATGAAGACTCACAGGGTGCTTCACGCTTACGAGAACGCTTAGTACCATTCACTGAATGCTTAGAGACCACCGTATAATAAATACCACAATGCTAATAGAAATTGCAGATGACTGCTTCTAAATTACGCTATCTAAAAATTTAAAACGAACAAACAAACCAAAGAACCTTAGAAACCTACCAGATCAGCGTCTGCCTTTCTGTAGGTCAAAGCTTCAACTCTGGAATCCAGTTCTGCTTGTATTTGGTCTCTTCTTTTCATAACACCCTTTATATAAAACAAGGATAAAGCAAGTTGCACTTAGTTTAATTAATATTTCTATAACAAAAAATACATTTCTGAGTAAAAACAATCATCAGGAATAGATTCCCTACACAAAGGTGATTTCCTTACTCTTACAGTCTCAATTGTAAGTGAATACCCCACACGATCTTTTATATTTTACTAGTTTTCCTATCGCGTATTTCACTAGTTTAAGCAAGGTTTGTATGTTCGATATTGGAAAGAACCGTCTTCAAGAAAAGCAAACAAAATGCAAAGCAGTCAATGGGGACACTGCAAACACACGGTGTGGTCCTCCTGATGCAGCCAGGAGTCACAGGCCACTTTCCTGGGAACACCAAGTCAGCACAAGCCCTCGTCTCTGACCCCAAAGGGCACTTACACAGGGAGTCTTCTCAAGAAACCGAAGCATGCACTCACATCTTAATCATTTTATTTTTACTCAAAACGTATAAATATTCATCACCTATTCACACTTACTTTGATGAGAAATCATGGTCTATTTTTTAATAGTTTCATCTCACTTTCTTGAGCAACCAGAATTTCAGTATTTTTAAACTTGAAACACTCCTGTGCAGCACTGTTAATATATAATCAACCTGTACCTTCAGTCATTTTTTCAATCTTTTATCTTTTGCTTGGAGATCCACTTTTCTTCGACTTTGTATCCATGAGGACTCTTTTTCACTTGTAATCAGCTTTCACTAGTACTCACAATATTCATAATAAAATTCCAATAACACAAATGGCCTACACACATTAAGGCGATAATAAAATGGACTCTGGGGAAGCAAACAAGTCAGTCGGAGCAAAAAGTGCAGAAGGGCCTCAGACAGATACAAACCCTCTGCGCGCTCTACAAAGAGAAGACTCTAAATGAAGCTCAGTTACATGGACGCCATACAAGGGTTCTACAGCACTGGAAGGAGACTGAGGGACACTCAGACAGGATCTAGAGAACCACCCATCTAGTTGTGCATCTAGCAGAACCGTGCTTAAAATATTCAAGAGGTGAACATAGTCCTCAGCGTCAAATAAGCCAACGGAAAATTCACCTAATCATCATAAATCTCTTTCAGTTTACCTCACTGTGCAATGTGTCACTGAAGTCAAGAAGCCTGCCTCTCTCTACCCGAACGATTCATCCTGCAGTTCAGTCCCACATATTTAAGGGCTCTTTCTGTGAAGTATTGGGCTTAGCGATACTCTGAGTAAGAGGCTGCTTCATGAAATAGCGAGTAAAAATTACGCAAGTTCAATGACTTTTATCAAAGAATTATGATTCGTATTTAAGCTCACACTGAAGAAAACACAGCATGAATCAACACCAGAAATGTGAAGTACACACTTCCGAGTACCACAGAAATCTATAAAATTATTCAATTAACTGAGGCCTACACAGTGAATCTTTGTCGTTGCTATATTTTTGTACACCTTTAACAACACAGGATTAAGTTCCATCTTGACATAAGATAAGGAAAGACACTACCCAAGCAAGGGAAAAGAACGTACAAATCAGACCTCCCTGATGAGCCCCCAAGGGGAGAGCAATAATGCAGTGGAACCAGGAGATGTGTCAAAGAGATTCACTGAGAAAAGCATGAGACTCCTCCACAGTGAAACTGAAGAGGTCTGGGAAGCAAGCAAGGTGTGTTTACAGGAGGGCTCCAATGAAGTCGGGTAGCAGCAGACATCTAGAAGAAGCCTGAGAGTGATAAACAAAGGACGGGTGGAGTTTATGCTGCAAAGCTAAGACACTTTTCCTTATCAATATTGAGATAAAGCTAAAAAGCTCTAGAAATCCAGGGCGCGTAACACCAAAAACGAGACACAGCTCAAATTACAAATGGCAGGAAAGGCTGTATCTAACTGTAACTTGGCTTCTGCCTCCACTGCTCTCCCAAAATGCTTCAGACCAGAGGGTGACAGTCTGCGCAAAGTCCTGCGGGCACAGGATAATACCACACGAAAACATTAGCTTTGCAGACAGCATCACTAAACCCCAAATATGTGGAAATCTGTCACTTGAACTGAGAAGGTAAAACACAAAACTTTCAGTAACAGGAATAAAAGCCTTTTCAAATAGTGAAAGAAAACCATTTTAACGTGAAGGATTTCCTTTTGTAGCAAGCAGAAGGCAAAATAAACATCACGATCCTACTCAAGTACTTTCCACATAATGGTATTAAATCTCTTGCTAAATCAAATGTACCGAGAAGTGTTCCGGAAAGCAACTCTCATGAAAAGAAACTGGCAAAGCACTACCCATTTTTTTAAAGTAAAATTTTAACGAGATTGAAAAAATTGTATTTCCTAAGTAAACCTTGACTGGAGATATTTCTATGCTAATCTTGTAAACTGTTGGTGATATTATGGAGTGTTTCTGCTTTTTATCAGTATGTTCTTCCAGTCACCTGTACAGTGAAAAAATACTTCTGGATCATCTATGTGCAAAACATCCTGCGAACCCAGGAAAGCAGTGGCATACAAACAGAAATTAAAAACTGACGTTCTAAAGATTAGAATCAAGTTAGGCACTGTGTATAACTGCAATTAGACGCTCTTACCATTAACACATCACCGTAAAGCACGTACTCATGCATGACCGGAAGCACGGCCTCGGAGAGACCGGACATCCGCTTTTCAATGGCCGTACAGCACTCCTCAATACAGCTGGCAATGCCTTTCAGAGGGTCCGCCAGATCTTCCTCTGACGCAGACCACAGAACATGAATTGGGCCGTATTCCTTCATTTCATCAAAGTATTCTACAATAAAAACGTATGACTTAATGAGTTCATGGATTTACGAGTGTTTTCAAAACCCCTACGTGACAGACGGCACGGAAGGGTTTTATCTATCATGTCCTTGCTCACCTGTGAGCACGGCAGTCACGTCTTCCTCCATTCAACTAGCCACCATCCCAAGTGACCAAGCCAGTCTTTGAACAACTACTGCCCCAGGGTAATCAATAACGTGTTCTCCTTCACTGTCAAAAACATCTTGGCTTAGAAAACAGTCTATGATTATCATATCTATTACGAACTCCCCCTACCGCACTAACTGCATCTGAGGGTCTCACAGACAACAGGTCCTACACAAAACTTGTCTTTTCTCTCCTTTCCTTCTGATTTTATACCCTACTCAAATAGTAATCCATAGTCAGAGATCTAAGCATAAAAAGACGGAGATCATGCTAGCAAACAGCCAATACTTGCAAATAGCCAATCACTAATTTCACTATTTCTAGGACTTAAAACTGTCTACTTCCCTCCCTCAGCACTGGCTTGTACTACGGCAGCAAAGGACTCCTAACTGCTCTCTCTCTTTCCACTACTGCCATAATCTATAAACGCTGATTTTTTTTTTATAATCAACCCCTCCTTGCCACTCCAGGTCCAACTCTGAAGATTTGCAGCCAAGTATATTTTGACTCAAGCCCAAATAACTATTTGTTCATGAGTATCTCATGATTTCTCTGAAACATTTACATATACCCTTTGCCTTGCTCTGTACGATGTCTATCACCCAACAAACCACCTCTAATTCTTTCTATCCCAGTTCAAATACATCTCCTCTGATTCCATTCTACAGGATTCTAGGTTGCGTACATCCTCAATGTGCCTATCGTATTTTGTACTTTTATTAAAGGATTATCCCACTCTATTATAATTGATTGTCATGTCACCTACTCCTAAAGCAGTTGCTCAGTTTTATTATTTTTGTATCTGAAAGATCTGAAAGTCTGAAAGTATCTGAAAGTCTCATAAATAATGTATGCAGTAAGCATTTTTCCACCAATGAGAGAATGAATACAGAAGCAGCAGTATTCAATGCACGATGTACTGTGGATTCAAAATTATGGATTTCATTTTTAAAGGTTAGTATTGTTCCATTTTTACTTTTACACTATCAACTTTATTTTTTAAATTAATTTCATTGGTACACTTTTAATACACACACTAATCATTCATCACAGGGAACTTGTACCTACACATATTACACCTTGACTCTTTTTCATCCCTATTCCCTCCCTTCCCTGTCCCCTCCCCCTCCACTGTTCCCCTTCCTGAACATATTCCTCCTACTTCCCGACATCCACCATCCATTTTGGTCCTTATTTACCCTTTGAGGTTCTCACACAAAGGAAACAATGCCATATTTAAACATGTCTGTCTTCCCTACTTTTCTCTCATTGCTGAAACAAAATATCCGATACTCAAAATTAAGGGAGAAACAGTTTATTTAGCTCACAGTTTGTGCATGTTTCAGTCCATAATCAGCCGGCTCCAAGGCAGGGGGGCATGGCCCAGGGGTTAACAGTTCAAGGTGGCAGAAGGCAGCAAAAGCACCAAGAGCCAAAGGGGCAAAAGGAGGTGCAAACCTCTTTTCCTCCCTTTTATTGTATATTGTAATCCAGGGTGCGTGTGGCCCTCACACAATCTCCATGCCCTCCTCTTAGACAGGATGAGGTTGTTTACAAAGGACGGACCCTGGCTCCCTGCTGAATCACTTAGATAAACTTCTCAAACTGACACAATTTGTATCAATCATTACAATCCTCCCCTTGTCAACTGGGCAACAGACACATTTCTTTAAACCAGTTTACAGATGCAAAGACATACTTAGTCTTATCATTTCACAACTTGAATGTTATAAAACAGGTTTAACAATTCTTAAGAACCAGTTTCAATAACTTGCCATGGTGGCACACGCCTGTAATCCCAGCACTCGGGAGGCTGAGGCAGGAGGATCACTGCAAGTTCGAGACCAGCCTGAACTGCATAGTGAGATCCTCCCCACCAGCCCCCCTCCCGCCAAAAAAAGAAAGAAAAAAGAACCAGTATTAAGTTTATCAACATTATATTACATTAGAAACACAGCATTCCACCCCTGGCCCCCCAAAGACTCATGCACATTTCTTTATGCAAAGGCATTTAGTTCATCTGCAAGAGTTGCCAAAGTACTAACAGTTTCAGCATTGCTGAAAAGTCCAAGTCCCAAGTCTCCTCTGAGAAGGCAAACTCTTAGCTACAAGCTCCTGTACAAATGAAAACCATGTTAAACACTTCCAACATTCAAAGGCACAAGATAAATCTTTTCATTCCAAAAGTAACGAACAGGAATACAAAGGATTGGGGCCAAAGCAAGTCCAACATCCAGCAGGGCAAACGTTGAACCCTATAGTTCCATGTCCAGCACCTGAAGCAATCTGTGGCAAATTATGAGCTCCAAACGGCTTGAGTGACTCCACTCCTACAGCACTTCCAGTGGTTGTAGCACCCACGGCTTCTTTCTCAGGCCTACTTTGCTCCCTCCCTGCAGCTTTACTTAGACAATTCACGTTGCTGGCTTTTCTAACCTTTGGGGTCTCCACTGTACCTTACACTTCACACTCAGAGCTTCACATACTCCCACTTGGGGGCACACTGCCTGGCCTCTCAGGCCTTCTGAAACTGGGGTGGAAGCCTTAACTCCACAACTCTTGCATTCTGCGTGCACCTAAAACCAGCGCCATGTGGATGATGCCAAGGTCTGCTGCCAGGTGGAGGGGTAGCCGGGCTTCCTCCTCTCTTGGCTGTACGGGTCGAGTGCCTAGATTGCTGGGCTCTGTGAGCCTGATTCTGAGGAACAAATTCTCTACGCCAGGGCTATTCTAGAACCTGGCGCGGTCACTATTTTGGAACATGGTACTGTATGGCTTTCTCCTCAAAGGAAAGTCTTTCATTTTTGTGGGAGTTTTTTGCCACTGACTTCCAATTTCACTGCACTATAATCTGATAATTTGCAAATACACATGGGATAATTTCAATTCCTTTGCATTTACTGAAGCATGTTCTGTGAGCTAGTCTGCGGTCTACTTTGGAGAAAGTCCCATGTACTGCTAAGAACATGTTTCCTGCTGTTCTGAGATGGAACAATGTAAACACCTACTAAGTCCATTTCTTCGAAGGTTTGGCTGAGCTCTGATATTTCTTTGTTGATACTTTTGTCTATTTGAGGTGGTGGGGTATTGAGTTTCCCCACTGTAATTCTTAAATGATGTTTCATTCCATTAATGTTTTATATAGGTGGATGTGCTGGTATTTGGTGCATATATATTTATATTTCTCTTCCTCTTGGACTGTTCCCTTAATAAGTATGTAGCAACCTTCTTTATCTCTTCTAAACAGTCTGGGCTTGAAATCTACATTTTGTGCAAAGAGAATAGCTACTTCTGCCTTTTTCTGGGTTCCTGTCACATAGAGTATTGTTTTTCACCCCTTAACTTTTAGTCAATGAACTTCTCTTTGTGTTAAATGTATTTCTTGTATGTAGTATGTTGTTGACTCTTATTTCTTGATTCATTCTGCCAGTCTGCTTCTTTTGATTGCTGAATGGAGACCATTCACATTGATGGCTGTCTTGGTTACTTTTCTCTCCTTGCTGAGACAAAATACCCGACACCCAGAATTAAGGAAGGAAAGGTTTATTTAGCTCACAGTTTGTGGAGGTTTCAGTCCATACTCGGCTGGTTCCAAGGCAGAGTGGCACATGGCAGAGGGCAACAGTTCATGGCGGCGGAGGATAGCAGAAGCAAGAAGAGCAAAAGGGAGGAGTGGGGGCAAGCAGCCTCTTTCCCTGCCTTACATATGCAAACAATCCGCCCCACAGCGGGTGCAGCACTCACACCCACGAATCAATCATAAACTCTAGAAGCCTGCCCCATGACTGCGTGAGACTTTGGAGGACACCCACAGCCAAACCATAATGTTTATAACTGGTAAGAATGGAATTACCCTTGTCATCTTATTTTTCTGTTGTTGGTTCCCTTTCTTTCCCCTCTGTTTAGTTGCTTGCTTTGCCTGGTGGATTCATTCTACGAAATTGTTGTCTTTTTCTAGAATATCCTTCAGAATTTTTTGGACACACTATCAGCTTTAATGACATATAGCTTTTTATATGGAGAATTCATACCCAGAAAGCATTTTTATCTAATGTCTATAAAAGTTTAATGAAACTCTTTACGTTTAACCATCTTTCTACTCACTAGAATTCACTAAACTGTATGATATTGCTCTAAACTAAACTATTAAAACTTCTGATTGAGCAAACTGAAAAAGCTAAATTTAAAAACGACAGAAATATCAGTTGTCACCTAATAAACGTATAAAGTTTAATGACATCTAAACTGCTTCTCAAGCCTAGGCCCATAGTTTCTGTTAAACAGTGAGCAAACTAGTATTTCCAGAAAAGAAAGTATTCTGTATTTTTTCTTAATTTATGTGCACGTCAGTGTGCATCATTAAAGGAGTAAGTCTTTCCACATACAAAGCTTCCCTAAAATTACCCAGCACTCAATTCACATTCACATGCAAACATTTAACAGGCCACGCTGCCATTTGTCTGCTAATATATTTATTTCCCAACAAGACCGTAAGCTGAAGCATGGAAAAATCTTTAACTTTTTCTCTAAATCTCCAGCTTAGAGAAGTAACACAAGCTGTGGTCAATACAATTCTGCTAAAGGAACTAGAAAATGTAAAATGAAGTTAAATCAAAAGAAAAATTAAGAGTTCAAAAAAGCAAAAGAGAAACCAGTAATCGCGATTACCAAATTCCTCCTAATATGAATATACATGATTCACACTACATAGGTTACATTCCCAAAGCTACAGAAAGAACTTCCATTCCTTTGAGTGAAATCTTGACAAAGAGGCTTCATACTGCAAAGACTAAGAGCCCCTCAACTTTGGGGCAGTAGCTGTTCAGAAGAAGAGCTCTGATTTTTTAATTCTATGGAAAAATCACCTATCTCTCTGAACATTTTACAAACATCATAGCCTATCAAAGATTTTAAAACTATCTCTGCACCAGCGCATATAAGCATCTTGGTATCCTATGAAGATCTTCAGTGGCAGAGGCTTCTTTTAATTGCTAGTCAACCTAACTATGCATCCAGAATCTGTTCAACGGAACTGGAACCACAGAACCTACTTAAGGAAAAATGGTAAATGGCAAATACAAGAGCAAACCCAGGAGGGTGAACCCAAATTATGAAACTGCGCTCCGTCACAACGATCTTACTAAGTGTCAGTGCACAAAAATAAGGAAGAGAAAGGACAAAGTATACTCGCCATAACTTTTCTGAAATCTTTACAATAATCACTTCTTGATTCAGCAAATTTTCCCACCACTATTCCAAAGCTTATGTTCATTCATTTACTTTTTTGACCAGTGAAAAAAATTTTAACTGAGCACATATTATGCTAGGCACTATCTACTGACTATATATTAGGAAAAAAGACGAAATAAAATAAATCTGTTCCCTGGTTATTCTCACGGACCTTGCAATTTAGTGATGGACTCAAATAAGCCATGGACACCGGGATTCTTGTTTATCTGTAAGCATTTCCTCACCTCTAACATTAGCATATATGAGGAAATATGCTGCCGATTCAGCCATCTATTTTTAGTTTAAGCAAATGCAATTAGAAAAGTACAATAAGAATCTCTAAGGACTTAGAGAAGCATCATCAAGGAGTACTCTAACTTATTCTTTTTTTATGAAAAAACAGAAAGTGACAAAAGGAATACTAATAGAAAATGTGAAAAGACATTTTCCAACATATAATTTCCAACATATAACTCTTTCTACCGTTTTTGGAGTAGTACCACTTCCTATCACCACCACTACCAAAATAAAGGACTCGAAAACACAGAGAGTCTCTTTCCTGGAACATCATCCATTTCTTTGAGTTTAAGATACGGTCCATGTTGAACAGATGATAATGACTCCCCACAACCCCATCCAGAATCTTAAACTCAGGAGCCAGTTGTGGTGGCACATGCTTGCAATCACAGCACTCAGGAGGCTGAGGCAGGAGGTCTGCTGTGAGTTGGAGGCCAGCCTGGGCTGCACATCAATACCTTTTCTCCAACAAAATAAAACGAACAAAATCTTAAGCTCAAGGCTTACTTTACCACTATTACCTATAAATGCGGGCTGGAATAGCTTCTGACTGATAGAAGCAAAGGAAGAGTGGCAGTGACTACCTTCAGAACCACGTAGGAAGCAGGAATTCTTCCTTCACAGTTGGGTTAAACTGTGTCTTGAAGGTACAATCCTACCAGGTGTGGCCGTATTAGAAAGTAAAGGTGAAGGGTCAGAAGAAACGACACAGCTTTGAAATCACACATCGGCGACTCTACGTACCCCTTTCTTCTTTGTAAATCCTCTGAGATATTTTATCTATTAAATTAATCTTCTGGCTAAATATTTCAATGAAGTGATTCATTTCCATGAAATCCTCTGGGCGGTTTTTCACCCCTCTCAAGGAGGACGCCACGGCTCTGACTGTCTGCCCCATCCTGCTCAGCAGCCCGGGTCCTTGCTTCTTGTGAGAGGAGAGCTCCTAGAAGGGAAGACAACCCGTCTGTGAGGAAAAGTGCCAGCACTCCGAGGCTCAGGGAAAAGGACCCGAATTGCGAGAGTGAGGTCAGGGCGACAGAGCTCTTCCCACACACTTTCTCAAGGTCAGCTCGCAGTGCACGGATTTCACTACGGTACGGTGTCTCCTCCACGCCTCCACCCTGAGGATAACAGTCCTTCTCAAAGGACTGAGGTAAAGCAAGTGGACAGTCTCTCCTTGAACACAAACCTTTGAAAGAACACAATTTACAGGGGGAAGTGCTGAGGGAGATTTCAGAGAAGCAGAGAGGATGACCTGAGAGACCATGTGTACTTTCTAACAGGAATTTAATGGAAAATGACTGAGAGACTCGTCAGGGCCTACATTACTTGCTGCAAAAAATGGAAAACGTTAGCTCTTTAGCTATAATAACGGCTGACATTTATTGAGAACTTAATACACTTAAGCACTGTGTTGACACTTTTATATACATAACTCCCAGTAAACCTACGAGGTAGGCTCCACTCTTACCCTCATTTCACAGAAGGAACACAGCAAGGTTATGAAACTTGTTCAAGACCTAAGAGCAGTTAAATAAGGGGCAGAGCAGGATCAGAACCCTGGCAGCAGGACTGCAGCAGCCTCACTGTTAATCATGAACCTGCTCCGTCTCCCTAACACCGTTAGAACAGTGTGTAAACACTACCTGCCCACGGCTCTTCCACTGACGTGGCTACACTGTGACACCCCCTCCCCTGGCTGGCTGTCTGCAGAGAAACGTCTTTAATAAGATGCGCAACTAATCATTCCAGACTTCACCCAGGAAGGACAGCTACAGGCTCACAAAAT